CCCTGCTTGACACTCTGCTTTTGAACTTCTGTCCTCCAGATCTGGGAGAGAATAGATTTCTGTTGTTTTGAGTCACCTGGTTTGTGGTAATTTGTTACAGCAGCCCAGGGAATCCCGTACACCTTCTTTAAGACATCCATGATTCTTTCTTTACAGAAATTACCTGTAGATACACATAGGTAATCCTTTCTGAATATATGCTTGGTCTTTTACCATGACAACAGCAATAAACAAAAGGTTCAGTGGAGTAGAAAATTCTAAAGCTCCTCCCCATCATCCAGGAACCAGCTGGCTTTGGGGCCCAGGGACAGAGGTTACCCCAGAGGTCTGACTGAGCAGCTTTCACTCCTGCAGAGGGCCTGGCTCAAAGGTCTTCCACAGGCCTCCTCAGCGCCCTCTGCTGGGCACCCATGGGAATAGCACTTCACTTTCCTTGAGGTGTAGTTCAGTATGGGGGGTGGGGGGCAGGAAAACATTTAAAAACTGAATTAATTGTTTGGCATTGAGGAAATACTACAACAACAGCAACAAAGGAAAAAATCCATCCTTTCCTCCACTCTCCCAGTGTTCACCTGACTGTTTTAAAAGCACTTTGACAACATCAGTCTTTCAGATGATGAGCTAATAAAGATTAACTAGAAATTCATTCATTTTGGGACGTTTTCTGTTGCAGACAGAAGGAAGTCTTACACTCCAGAAGAGTACCAAAGAATCTGTTCTCCCATTTATCTGCGATGTGTAATACACTTTTTGCTTGCAAATCTTAGTAAATGGCACTTCTAGCCATGCCCCTGTCTAGGCCAAAAAGCACTGGAATCATCTTGACTCTTCCACACCCAACATCCAAAGTGCCCCCGAATCCTATTGGCTCTACATGCTAAATATATCCAGGCTCTAATCATTTCTCTCTGCTTGGGCTGATGACACTGGAGGTAATCTACCATCATCCTTCATCAGGATGATCTCACCAACCTGCATGAGGTCTCACCACCCCTGCCATCACCAGCCCTTGGCATCACTGGTCATCTGCCCCAGGTGATGGTACAACTATGTCCAGAAACATCTACTGGTTTCTCCATTGCAGTTGGAGTCAAATTCAAAGTTCCCCATGACCTCCAAGGCCCCACACAATCAGGATGTCCTCAGTATTTCAGACCCTATCTCCTATCTCTCTTCTCCTTGTTTCCCTAACTTCAGCCTCACCATCCTGTTTGCTGGTTTTCAAACAAACCAGGCTTGCTCTTAGCTTAGGGCCTTCCTGCCGGCTGCTCCCTCTGCCTGGAATGCATTATTCTGAGCTATCCACATGGTTCATTCCCTTACCTTCTTTAGTCTTTTTATCTATGAAGCAACGTCCTCCCAAGGAAGCCCATGGTGACCCCCATACTTAAAATTGTACCTCCTTGCCCTGGTCTGCTATTCCATATCTCAGTTACCCAATGCATCCTCTGTCATTTGCCTTTTTTTGCTTATTGTCAGAACTTGTCCTGTCTTCTTCATTCATAAACCCCAAGCATCTAGAACAGTCTTGGGCCTATGATGGACACCCACTAAAGATTCATCAACTGTTAAGTAAATGAATGAATGAATCAATCATATTTTTCAGGATCTAGTCTGTACAAAGCTTTATAAGCCCCAGCACAATCAATATCTCAATAGACATTAATCCAAACCAAAAGCATCTTGTCCAAACTATGATACATATTCTATTCACTTGATCAATAACAGAATTGTATCTGGTATCACCATTCAAGCTGAATTGGAATGAGCTGAGTCTCACATTCAGACCCAGATTTGTGAAGAAGTTAAAAACAAAAATTAAACCAGAATTGAAGAGCACGTACAAGATTTGAGAAAAATAGAAAGTAGCACAACTGCAGCTTCTGATGATCATAATTTTTAAAAGCTACCGTTTATCAAGCTCTTATTCAATGCCAGTCAATGTGACAGGAGTTTTGCAGACGATATCTCGTGTATCCCCCACAATACAGTAAGGCAGATCCCCACTTCCTAGGTGATTAAACTGAGGCTTGGAATCTAAAAGGACTGCCCACGTCTGAAGTCACACAGCACTTGAGAATTTTTAACAAGCCATTACCTGAATGGAACAAGCTAATTAGAGTTCAACACTGCGTAGAATTATTTTGATTGAGGCCACATTTTTCATACCAATCTATACTAGATTTTATTTTTGAGCAATAGTACATGTAGCTCAGGAATTAATGATTCTGATTGAGAATCAACCTAACTGGTTTCCTAACTCACAAAATTGTACTCCAACTTATGATTTCCACCCAAGCTATTGCATGGTGGGAAATGACTCTCATTTGAAGTTCACGGTCATGTCCCTAAGACTCATTCCTATTAGAAATCTTGCATCCCATCTGGTGCATCTCCTTGTAGTAAGGAGTAAGTAGAATGTGAAGAGCCAACATGAATTCCCAAGCCTAATTTAAGGGATTCATTTCCTTTCAGTAAGACTGAGCTTGACTTCTCTTGATCCACCTCTGAGCTGCCCAGAGTCCACTGTGACCAGAACTCAAGAGCAAAATCCAAAAGCAACCTGGTCACCAAAAAAGGTATAAAATACTGCAGCCTCTTCACAGACCCACTTCACTTAATATTCGAGGGAAATGATCCTAAAAGGTGAACTAGTTCCAGGGGTCAACCATCTGAGAAATTCTAAGGAAACGGGGTTGAGGGAAGCCCTGCATTTCCAAAGATGTGAAGAGAGAACTCTGCTCTCTGAGGATGGAAGGAAGTTAGAAGACCCTATTTGTGACTACAGGAGAGGAAAGAAAAGAGGCCCACAAGGAAACTACCAACAGATGGTAAATACATTTTTAATTCTTCTGTCATACTGTGTGGACTTGTGCACATTTGTCCTGCTGTGTTAGGCTCCCGAAATAGCTAGCCATGGAATTGCAGAACAGTTCTGCTGCAATTTGAGATTTAGGAAACCATGCTGGCTGACAAAACAGGAAGGGCTCGTAGTAGGATGGAGTGGATTTGCTCCCGGTTTACAGCTCTTCAATGTGGCATCTGCGACAGTTCTTGGTGCAGGAAAGTTCTCTCACGTGTCAAGCCTCATTGAGGATGTTTTAAAACATACAATTTCAAATTGTCCTGTGAGCTCTAGCTGCCATCGTTAAATGTTGACTCTCTCCAGAGGATAATTCTCCAACATTAAAAGGAGTGAGATCCATTGATTGGTGGAGCCTATGTCTTCCAGGAAACTTACCAAGCATATGTGGCAACCCAGAGGCCTACACCCATTTTTTTCTTGTGCTTTCTGTTTATATCATGTTCCCAGAGAACATCATAGGAATTTCAGTACCAGAAAAATAACCAAATGTGATAATGGGGTGCTGTAAAAAGGAATGTGAAGAGAGAGAATTCAGTTGACTGCATTAGAGAAGGGACCTGGGGCTGGTACCATGAGTGGGTCAGGTACCCAATTGCAACACCATCTCTGGGTGCATCAGCCAGAAAGAAAATGTGTTGAAGAATTCACCTGGATATGGAGTAACGAGAGAGCATTCTATGACTTAATCCAGGTCTACGAAGTATGATGTATACAACACCATAGTATTAGAACTGGAAGGATCTTTAGAAAACCTACTTTCATTTTTTGTTCTTGTCGTAGACAGGAATGTGGGTCAAAGAGTTGCAGAAAATTGGCAAAGATCATGCAACTGCTTGGTGGTAAATTCAGTACTGGAACCCAAGACATAGATTTCTTTGTGTCTGTTCTACTTTAGCACCCACAGAAAGTGGATATTTCTGAGACAAGCAAAGTCCAGTTCTACAAGACCTTCGTCATGGTAACCTTCATTCTTGGGTTCTTAGGAAACAATGATGGAGCCCTGGTTCCTGAATGTTTGGGAAACTGATGGATAGTCTTTATTTTTTTAAATTATTTTTAATGACTCTTCTAGAGGAACAGAACAGGTGGATTGACTAAAATACACTGCTGAGGGGAGTAGCGGGCAAAACAGAAGAGGTCTGCTACGCCATGTGGGTCAACTCCCTGGCCAAGGATCGAACTCATGCTGCAGAGGCTACTGCTAGCTTCATAGTGCTGAGACTTAACCTCTTGAGCCATCAAAGAGGTCCCCTAATGGATATTATTACTACATTTTCAAGGAATAAAATATTTGTTAATTGTCATCCTAAACTTATGTGGACTGTGTCTAGATGACACGGCTATCAAATGATCTGGCATAGCTGATATCCTTTTTTCATGAAATTGCAAGGAAGATGTGTACATAGGGGTCAAAAAGCGTTGGCCAAAGAGAAGAGGGAATGTCAGCAATAACTTCCCACCCAGTGCCTTCCTGGCCTAAGCATTTCTCCTAGTCTTCACTGGACTAAAGAGTAAGGGGCAGACAAGAGGCTATTTACCTTCTTAATAAAAAAAAAAAAAGGCTACAAAACACTTTAACACTGTTCAATCTGATGAAATCTTGATTATTGGCATTGAGGATATTTTCTTGGAAACTAACTTTATATTTTTGTTCAAAATGACACACATTCATAGATAACTTTTCCAATGGGTACATATATAGTATAAAAACTGTTCTCAATCAGCTATTTAAGAAATGTTATTTTTTCCTGATTTATGTTTTTAGAAAGTTACTCAGTAAGCGCTTCAATAGCTAGTTTAGCAATAAGGTCTGCTAAAATTTGCAAGTCTATTCAGCATTTTGATTTGTTGTTTTTGCCTATGATTTCAGCCATGTTTTGTTCTATTTTTGTGGCAGACGCAATTTAACCTGTTGTGTTGAAACATAGCATTCTTCGTTTTGAGAATCAATTTGATCGTTTTAAATATTCATGCTAAATTTACTGGCTACCTCCATGGTTAGTTACAGATGTGTATGGGGGGAAGGTACAACTTTCTTAAGTGAATTATTTTGCGAAGAACAGTAATGAAGGCACACTAGGTTATTTCATTTCATTCCTGTGATCCAAATTTGATTATCTAGCTAATGTCACTGGGGACATTGAAGCTTTAATAATTACAGCTCAAGCCTAAAAAAAAAAAAAAAGAAGAAGAAAAATTATGATTACTACACATTCACACAGTCAGAGCCTGTTTGACTAATTTAAAAATATAGATTGACAGCAAGATTCCATTTTAAGAGTTCAAGCTCAGTTGACACGTTGTTCTAAAAAAAAAAAAAAAACAAAGCTAGATTTAAACAATTGTTTTATGCAGAAAGAGTTAGCACTGCTTATTTAACATGGTCAAAAAAAAAATACAAGCTATTGATTTTACCTTTCCTTTTGGAGATCAGTTTTAGGGTCCCCCCTCCCAAGAAAGTTTAGGGCTATGAGTAAGGTTGAGAGTGACCTGCTCTGTTATATATCCATAACACTTTTGTTTTGTTTTGTTGTGTTTTAAGATTTATTTATTTGTGCATACAAGAGTTGGGATACAGGCCAGAGAGGCACGGGGGCAGGATGAGAGGATTCACAAGAGACAGAGTGGGGAGCAGAACAGGCAGACTGATGAAATACACTGCTGAGGGGAGCAGTGGGTGAGACAGGAGAGGTCTGCTGTGCCATGTGGGTATCTCCCTGGCCGGGGATCAAACTTGTGCTGCAGTGGCTGCGGACAGCCTCATAGGTTGTGTATTAACCCTTGAGCCACCAGGGAGGCCCCTATCCACACTACTTTGAAGCCATCCCTGCTTCTAGGTCAAGGGCTCTCCCTGTGGCCAGATGCCAGTTTTATCCCTGGATTCTCATAATCCTGGGAAATAAATCAACTTTTCAGTAAAATCTTGTGACAACTCGGTTTTACATAGAAGATTAAACCCGGGGATGTGATCCTGGTCTGCATTTTAGGTGAATAAGAAAGGGAAAAATTATCCACAATCACTGAGTGCAATTCCAAGGGGAACAGTTACTTACAGAAATCAGAGGACAGCCTGGGGTATAACACGTACCCTCCCTGTAGCCTCCGGAGCCTAAAAGCATTTTATTTTTGTGGAAACTACACACAGAGAAATGGCTGGAAAGGGGTTAGTTCATATGAGGCCAATACATCCCGGGAGTTGAAGTGTTGAGCATGTCAACTCCTTTAGGATACTATTTCTTCCTTGAGGCAAGAAAAGAAAAACAATGAATGTGGATCCCACAGTGTCAGAAAACCAAGGAGGCCAGACACAATAAGACATAGCCCAGTTTCCATTTGTATAATGGAAAACAAAAAATTAATCCATCATGTCAGAAATAAGTACAATAGTTTACCTTTAATGAGGAGAGAGAAAATTGGCTTTAGAAATAAACAAAAATGATTACTTTATGGGTGCTAGAAAGTTCTATCTCATGACCTGGATATTGGCCCTGGAGGTGCGACCACTTTGTGATAAAACGTTAAGCCACATACCTGTGACCTGTGCACTTTATAAGAATGATTTACTTTAATAAAATGTTCAAAAATAGCCTCCCCATTGGGAAAGATAGTTTGAAGAAGCATGACAATAGTGTTGCGTCTAATTAAGCCCATAGATATACATTATAGTAAAAAACAGAAAATTCCGATTAAGTTAAGGGAAAAAATTGCACCAACTCCAGTGTAGGATGAAAGGAACTTTCCTATGCATCTTCAGGGAGTGCCATTTGCTGTTCCTCCTGGTTAGCTGTCATCATCTACTAAAGATGTGCATAGCCACAATCTATATTTACCTCCTGAGAATGATCCCAATAAGAATAGTACATAGGAGGGACCCCCCTGGTGGTGCAAGGAGTTAAGGACAGCACTATGAGGCAATCCACAGCCTCTGCAGCATCCCCCGTCAGGGAACAACCCACATGTCGCAGCAGACCTCTCCTGTTGCGCCTGCTGCTCCCCTCAGCAGTGTACTTCAGTCAGTCTGCCTGTTCTGCTCCCCGCTCTGTCTCTGGGGAATCCTCTCACACACACCTCCCACCTCTGGCCTGTACCCCAGTTCTTATACGCATAAATAAATAAATCTTTAAAAAAATTTTAAAAAGGAAAATGAATGAACCACAATAGCCTTAGCCACATGGATAAAACCAAGAAATGGAACTTTTAAGAGAGAGAAACCAGAGACAAAAAAAGTGTATATTCCCATTTACTTAAAAATAGGAAAAGATCTAATTTAGCACTATCTATGCAGTTGGTAAAACTAAAGAAAAGAAAAAAAAGGTCATCATAAAAGAACAGGTGGAGGGGACCTCTCTGCAGGGGGTGGGCTGTGATGGGCCTGGTGGAGGGAGGGTTTCTGGACCATATTCTAATTCTTGACATGAGTAGTTGTTGTATGAGTTTACTTGTATAAAACACACACTTTCTCATATGTAAGTTACGTTTCACAATAAAAGGGGTATAAAAAGTCACATGAAGCCCAATTACTGAGAGGTAGTTATCAACTTCACACCTGTACACACACACACACACACACACACAGCCAGACCTTCTTCATAGCAATCTATGGATCCTGTCCACACCTTTAATTTATTTTTCTTTAATGATACGGCCTCCCAGAAGAATTCCTCTTCAGTGTTTTTTTTCTTTCATTTCCATTTAATTTTAACTAAGAGTAAATATCATACAAGCTTTCTGTCCCTCTGGAAACCCATGGAGTGGCTTTCAGGAAATTATGTTGCTTTAGCTTAAGCTACATTGATTCATAAACCAATCTACAGGATTTTGCCACAGCTCATGGGAGACTTTTCTTTCTCTGTTAATAATGCTGCTGCCTCAAAAGAGAAAAGCCTCTTTCCACCTCTTCAAAATGCTGTATTGTACTTTCAAAAGGAAAAGCCAAGCAATGAAGGGGAAATGCTGGCAGGGGCAGGGTCTTCCTAAAATTTATTGCAATACCTGTCATGCTGAGTCCATGCAGAATCTCACCTGGGCAACCTTAGGAGGAAAATCTTCAAAACTTCCCCCCACCCCCTCAGGTGTGGTCCCCATAGAGTTTCCTTCACCAATGCACCCCTGTGCACCATCACCCCAGTCCCCTGTGTGCCCTCCCTCCCTCCCTCTGATCCCTCTCCCTCCTGCTCCCCTGCAGGATGTCTCTGGTTTATAATCATCTGTTTTTGCTTTGTTGTGTTTTGTACTGTTGTTATTTTTTTACAGTGATGTCTTATTGGGTTCCCCTATATTCCTGCTATAAGTGAAACCATCCGATATTTTTCTTTTTCCCTCTGACTTATTTCAGTGAGCATCATCCCTTCCAGCTCCATCCATGTTGCTGTGGATGGCATGAGTTTATCTTTTTTGATTGCTGACTAGTATTCCTTGTGTATATATATACTGCATCTTCTTAAAAAAAAAAAGAATTTGGCTAATGCAGTTAAATTACTTTGCTTTTTATATTGAAAATAAGGCTATTGCAAATAAAAAAAAATCAGTCTTTGCACAAAGGTGATGTCAGTGAAAAAAAAGAAACTGCTCAAAGCTATCTAGGGTGTTTTCATCCTCAAACCCCAAAGCAGGACCATTGCTTTTTCTTGCCCCAGGGACAGCATAAGGATTCTTCTCTCTCCCCAGAACAATGTTCTTCTCCCTCTTTTTCTTTCTTCATACACCCTCCCCTGCTTTCCGTTACTGTTTTCATCATCTTAGCTATTATGTGGTCTAAGATCCCTTCTATGACCATTCAAGCCTGAGGGGTGACCCCCTTAGAATTCCAGCGCACCCTGAATTTGCACCATCACAGTATTTGTCAACTTATTTTGAAATTGTCTATTATTTTGTCCACAGACACTCTACTAATCCACAAGCTTCATGCACAAAGGTCATCACTTCACCATCATAACTCTAGCCCCGAGCACATGATGGCACTCAGCAAATATTGCCATATATGAATGAAAAAGGGTGTGAAATGAGATGCAACATGGGGGTGGGGGCTGTGATCTGAACTGTTTTCCCTACTTTCTCCATCCATGGAGCACAAATGTCCTCAACTAATCCAGCCACTCCCATACGGGATGCTATAAAATTCTGAAATCTATAACTGCTTGGTTTCAAGGACTTACCAAAAGAGCTTAATTTGTATAGTGCTCGATCGTTCCTTAAGCAGGCTCAACTATTTTTTTATTCAATTCCAACAAGTCCTTGTAGTTCACCTGGGAAGATATTAATGTGAAAATAATATTAAAATTTTACAGATTTGGAAAGCACCCCAGGTGGCGAAGGTGTGTAGCCCCACATCATAAGAGCAGGTATTAATGTAAGCAGAACTAGTGATGCCTTCGAGCTAGAGTGAAGCACATCCCAGGTATACCCTCCACAGACACATTTTCCAGAAATAAGGACATCAATATGTGACACCATTCTGGTTTTATCCTTCAATAGATAATTCTTGTTTTTCTCAAGCATTTATTTTTTTGGCTTTATTGCTCAGCACGGAACTAGTACATAGTTGCTATAAAAATCATACAATTATAGAAGAGCACAAATAAGCAAATTGAAACAGCTTATGATCACATTAGCCAGAGTGATCTATTGTTACCTATTTTAGTAGCTCTGATTACATATTAAGACGTGAGCTTTTGTGGAGTGAGATTCCTTTTCTTTTTTCTATGTCCTGCTTTTTATCTGCAAAATTTCCTTAGCTGTCTTCCCTGCTTTGCTCTTCTATTTGGATTTTAAAATTAGATTTTACAAAACACTGTTGGGATTTTTATTGGATTTGATTATTTTTATAGATTGATTGGAATAGAACGAAGATTTCTACTCTATTGGCTCCTCTCTTTCATGAACTCAGTCACTCTCTCCATGAATTTTTGTCTCCTCTCATGTCTCCTTATAAATGTAAACTCTTCAGGAATTTGCACATCTTGTTTGTGCAGGAATCACGCTAATGTCCAGGACGTTCCAGTTTTAGTATATATGCTGTTGAAGCAGCACTCACGGATAGTTCTTTTTTTTTAGATTTATTTTTATTTATTTATACAAGCACTGGGTACAGTCAGAAGCGCGGGAGGGTGAGAGAATTCACCAGAGCCAGAGCGGGGAGCAGAGCAGGCAGAAGGACCGAAGGACACTGCTGAGGGGAGCAGCGGGCGGCAGGAGAGGTCTGCGCGCCATGTGGGACCCTCCTCTGGTGGCCGGGGAGCAGCCGGGGATCGAACCGGTGCTGCAGAGGCTGCGGGCAGCTTCGCAACCCAGCGCTCAACCGCTGCGCCACCGGGGGGGCCCACACAGATAGTTCTTAACTGCTGGATTTAACCGGGAGGGAAAGGTAAGATGTCACATGTTCTTTATACTTTTTTTTTTTTTTAAGATTTATTTATTCTTGCATACATGGTACAGGCCAGAGGTGTGGGGGGTGAGAGGATTCACCAGAGACAGAGTGGGGAACAGAACAGGCAGAAGGACTGAAATACACAGCTGAGTGGAGCAGAGGGAGAGTCAGGAGAGGTCTGCCATGCCGTGTGGGTAGCTCCCTGGCTGGGGATCGAACTCGTGCTGCAGTGGCTGTGGATCACTTCATAGGTTGCGTCTTAACCCCTTGAGCCACCAGGGAGGCCCTTTATACTCTTTATAAGACAGTAACTGAAAAAGACATGAATCTTGACTAATTGCCTCTATCAAATAGAAGCTTTCCTTGTGTGCTGACAATGGGGAGAATGTTTTTTGCTTTTGCTATCCTGTCCCTTCTATCATCTGAACAGAAGTTCTTTTCCTGCTGGTGGTCTTGACAGGGCCAATCAGTAGGACAAAGGGGTTGGGAGGACAGGAAAAAGAAAAGGCAAGAGAATGATGGTCAGATGGGATCATAAAGAGGGCTGGGGAGGAAGGGTGTGTTGACTGGCAAGGAGGAGTGGGTGGAAAGCATGGAGTGGGGAAAGGAAATGACAGCTCATTCAGACTCTCTGGGTCCTGCTGCTCTAGAAAACCAGCAGCAATGCTTGGGATCTTGTTGGAAATGTAGTCCCAGCCCCAACTCGGAGTGACCCGATCGGCATCTGCATTTGAACCACTTGGTCAGATATTTCCTAGGCTAATCAAAGTTCCAGAAGCTCTTAGTGGCCCCCAACCAGTCTGAGCCAGTCCTAATCCCTGTCATCAGCCTCAGGCCTATTAATAGAGGAAACTGGTTTGGTTGCCTAGAGACCTGGAAATCTGGTTCCTCTGTCAGCTCTGAGTCTTGGTGTTCTCTTACCTCTTTGGCCAAAGGCTTGCGAGTGCAGTCGGCTTCAGTTTCTCTGCTAAACATTTCAGTTTTCTGCCAGGGATGGATCTTTGCCCCAGACCCCAGCAAACTTAGCTTGCGTCCTGATCTGCTGCCAGACTCTTGCTCTCCCCTCCCCTGGGAAGTAGGATGTGAGTTCTGACGGGCCCGCTGGCCGTGGGCCAGCTAGGACTGAACTGATCACCTGGAACACTGCCTGATTTGCAGCATTGTCACCTGGACTGATTCCAGAGCTGTGTTCCGCTGGCAGATAATTCTCACTCAGATATCCAAATAGCCTGACCCAATCTCGGCTAGTCATGCCCTTTGACCTCGGCACAGTAGCCTGCCTGGCTGCCCCCTGGCAGTGGTTCAGCCCCTGAAGACAGTCTGTCCCCTCTGTCCCACTGGATCTCGGCTTCTTCCCTCTTTCCAAGACTTGTGCCTGTGTGGTCCCAGCCTTCCCTGCACCGAAATGTCTCCTACGAAAGAGGAGGCCAGCAGAGACTGGGGGAAGCAAGCCACGACCCTCTCTTTCTTAACATCTGTGACTCCAGGGCTCCCCGGGACTGCTTCTGTGTGGACTGCGACATCCCAAACACTGCCCTGGCAACCCTTTAGGCCAAAGGTATTCTACAAGTTCTGGAAGACTGTTGGGTACAAACAGACTCAGGGGTTTTGCATTCCTTGTATTTTTAGTCCCTTTTCTTTTTTAAATACATTTTTAAAAAGATTTGTTTATTTATGCATACAAGAATTGGAGTATAGGCCAAGGTGTTGGGGGGAGAGGATTCACCAGAGACAAGAGTGGGGAGCAGAACAGGAGGATCTACTGAAATACACTGCAGTGGACGAGACAGGAGAGGTCTGCTGCACCCTGTGGGTAGCTCCCTGGCAGGGATCCAACTCAGGCCACAGTGGCTGCTGATAGTTGATAGTGATGAGACTTTAACCCTTGTGCCACCAGGGAGAACCCTTAGTTCCTTTTCTAAGGTGGAGAAAACATCTTCTATGGTGCATGACTTATTTTATAAAAACAGGCCAATCCATACAGAAGCTCAATAATTTCTCCGGTTACTGTACAACCATTTCACTTTGACTGATGGTATTATACCTCCTGCCATGCTCAATTTATGGGGAAACATTATGCAAACTGTATCACACCTGCTACTGTGTTTGAAGCCAGCACAAAATGGCATGAAGTTCAAAATAATCAAATAGGCTGTCAGTTATAGAGGCCAATTTTGAAATCAACATTACTCTCCACTAATTACTAATAGCGCACTACGTCTTTAAGACTGTTGCATCATTTCTATTTCTAAGGACTTTTCTTATGGTGATTTAAAAAAAAAGAAGAGAGAAAACAGAAAGAAGTGTGGCAGCACCCACAGCAGCTAAGTAATGGTGTGGGTGTTGTTCCATTATTTACATACATAGCACTTTCACAAGAATCCAAATGTCTTACAAAAGAAAATACAACACAAATTGCAATAGACGCCGTAACACAGTAAGACATAAAGAAAACAATTACCCAAGGGGAGATTTAAACTTGGCATAAACTGCTTGCACAGAAAGAATGGATGGACATCCGCTGACTCCATTTGCACATGCAAAAAGAAGCATTCAGGAAAAAAGTAACCTATAAAATAGAGGTAAAAGAATAAAAAGGAAAAAGTCCAGGGCATGAAAAAGTCCAAAGTCATTATGAATAAGAAATGCATGCTATTTGATTAAGCCACTTTGAGTTTCTAAAGTTGCATGACAAACTCATTGAATTAGCATGATGGAGGAATGATTTTCCAAAGGTGCTCTTGTTCAAACAAAATCAAAGATTCTAGGAAGAAGTCACTGAAGACCAGAAAGAGTAAATATCTAGGACCTAGACCACCTGTCATCACTTAATGTTTATCACTCACTCGCATGGCATCTTCCCGAAGGTCCACGTTTTCTCAGGGCTGATGTTGGTTGATCAATGACAAAAAAAGTATATTTGAAGTTTGTGTAAAAATCTCTTTTGATGGCTATCATGAAGATTCTTTGTTCAGTTGCTTTCAAGTTTCGTGTTTGCTCTAATGTCATTATTTGACCATGGATCCAACCAACCATTCAAACTTTTGGAAAGAGGGAAACCCAAAACAGGGGGGTGGGAGGGAAATACTCCTAGGAAAAGTTTCTAAAATGTTGCCAAGCTTACAAATTGATCATTACAGAGAACAACACATCGCCACTAGTGCTATTACAACTTTGGTATGTGTAGTTAGCTTCAAACCACTCCAAATTACAATGTCATTTGTCTTCTTTGTATCTCTTTTGTTTTCACAAGTCACATGGCAAAATCAACAAATACTACATCATCCCTCTGAGGATTCAGCTGTGGAAAAAGCATCTGCTCGTTCATCTCTAGGGTAGTTATTATTAGCTTGCTTTGATTCTCTCATATGATACATACCCATGCTTATTAAGCTGTTTGTATGCCTCCTTTGTCATATTCTTCTGTGAATGTGACTATTGCTAGGCAGTGCATTCCAGCAAAATCCAGAGGGATACATTTCCATAGGCCTTTCCAAAATCAATGCCCTCCCTTTATCTTTTCAAACACTATTTGGGAGAAACCAGGTAATGTCATATTTGCAATGACATTGAAGCCTTCTACAGAAAATAGCACAGTATCTGTACTGTGGGGTCTTTCCTGCCCCCAAATGCCTGGCCACCCTGACTGCAAATAGGACCTTATTTGTAAATCGGGTCTTTGAGCTGTAATCAAAATAAGGTGATATTATACTGGATTTGGGTAGACTATAAAGCCAATGACTGATGTCCTTATAAAAAGGCCACCCAGAGGCACCAACATAGGAGAACATCAGGTGAAGACAGAGGCAGAAAGCAGTGATGCAATTGTAAGCCAAGAATTGCCCAAGATTGCCTGGAACTCCCAGAAGCTAGTTGAGA